TGGGCTCGCAGAGACCTCCTTGTCCTCATCTGCTGCGGGCTGACTGCTTCAGCAGGGTTTGGAAGGGGTGTTGGCGATGAGCGGCCTCGGGAATTTGGCTCAGTAGTCGAGATGATGGTTAATTCAGTGTTGGCTTCAAAAGCCCTCACGCAGTATCCAGTGCAGGCACAGAATAATAATGTCAGGCCCCTATTAGAACAACCGACTGGCAACAATATGTAACAAAGATCATTGCCCCTTCCCAGTGATTCTCAGTATCGAAAGGATGGGGGTCAGGAGGATGGGGCCAAGCTCTTTTCAGTGGTGCCCAGCGACAGGATAAGGGGCAACAGGCACAAATTGGAACCCAGGAGGTTCCATCTGAACATGAGGAAAAACTTCTTTCCTGTGAGGGTGCCAGAGCCCTGGGACAGGCTGCCCAGAGAGGTTGTGGAGTCTCCTCTGGAGAGATTCCAAACTCATAAGGATGTGATCCTGGGCAACCTGCTGTGGGTGACCCTGCTTTAGCAGGGGGGTTGGATGAGATGATCCCCAGAGGACCCTTCCAGCCCCACCATGCTGGGATTCTGTGATGGACTTCTGTACACCTGGGATTACCTTAAATAATGGTGGAAATTGGAACACAGAAAAATACTATTTATTTCCTTTCTTTGCCACTAGTACACTTTTCAACATTACTTCTTTGCTGAGATGTATCACTTAATGCCATCCTAAATTCATACCTCTGAATAATTTAAATGAAATATCCAGAATCCTGACTGGAGAGGACAATACTTGGCCAGACTGGGAGCTGACAACCTGCATCTGGGCTGTGGAGGTTTGTTATTTATAATGGGGAGGTGATATCCTAACTGGAGGAACAAATCTCCTGTGACAAGTAAACTGTATTTTTAGGACACAATATTTATATAAGAAAACTTGGAGTTGATGATCTGTCATCTAATTATTTCTTTTGATGCCTCTTCAGACCCTTGTTATTTACTAGACAAAACAGTGGATGTAGTTACTTCATGTCAGGCTTTTTTTTTTTTTTCCCCCCTCCCTCCTTTTTTCATAAGGTGAGAAAACTCTAAATTCTGTGCCTGGGTGAAAGTCAATATAATAATCTTTACTGCACTTCTCCTCTTGCCTTTCCCTCACAATTAATTAAAGATTATAAAGTAACCTTGTTCTCCAGAGAGGTTGACCCTTTTCATAGAAAACTTGATGAATTGGAAACTGGATTATGATGTACTTGGTAGATGCCAATAGAATCAGCATTTGGCTGCTGATTTGAAGGGTCTGGACACACAACTGTAGAGTTCTTTGAAAAAGTGATAAAAGAAAAGAAGAAAGCACTTCCTTTTTCACCTAGTAGGAATGTCTCCAGCTGCGATCTTGCTTCTGCCATTGTTACATTTAGTTTTTTTAACATGCTGCATAGTCTAAGTTCTACTGCTTCAGGACAGACATTTTTGGAGCAGTGGGGAGAACTGCTTCCTCTCCCCAGTGTGAAAATATCTTCTGTTGAGAAACATCGTTTTCTTCAGTTGTTTTGACCTGAATTTCTTTCACATGTCTGTAGTGGCCATGTGTGGTAGTTTTGCCCCATCTCATACAATAATCCCAGAATTTTGATGGGAAAGTGTTCCAGCTTCTCTGCACATGGGTTTGGTTTTTTTTAGTGTGTGTGTCTGTGTTTGCTTTGTATGTGGGTTATTTTAGTGAAAAGGTGACGTGTGCCTTTGCCTGTAAGCAAATTCTGCAGCACTGCTTGTGGAGTGCATCAGTCAGCTGTGGAGTGCAGTTATTTGTCCATTTCCAGGAATCCCTGTCTGCCACTACACATACAAAAACTGAGTGAAACCCTGATAATGTGGGGATCATTTGGGTTTCTGAAACTTCAGAACTTCTGACTTGCCCCTCCAAGCCTTTGGAAATCAGGTGCACATCCACTGAAGCCCAGCAGGACTGCACAGAATTGGCTCTCTTGGTTAAAATTGCCCAGGGACTCAGTTTTACTGATGCTTCAGCATTCTCTGAACTTTTGATTGCAAACCCCTAGCGATGTATTTTCAGAAGGAACAAGGAAGACATCATAGCGTGCTCCCAGTGAATACTTTTAGGTAGTTTTTGGTGTGCATGTATAATGTTGACCTTCCACTCAGTTAGAAGTAGACCCTACTTCACCCATATGCAAGTGGCTGCTTTATGAATGTTTTCCACATCAAGTGGTATTTGCAGCTTTTGCACTACACAGCCAATGATGTTTTGTGGCCTTCAGTTCTGTGTCACTTTTGTTTAATAACCTTAATTGATTTTTGCAAAGTGTTCACGGCTGACTGACTTGGTTTTTCTGGGGTGGTGGAGCATGGGGTTATCCACGTGTACTGACGTGGAGCTTGGAATGTGGATAACAAAGAGTTCCTCCTGCACTTCTGCTGTGCTGGCACAGGGACTGCTCTGTCTGTGCAGACCCGGGGACTCTGTGCTTCCAGAGGGGCCTCCTCTGGAGAGGGACCTGGCTCCTGGAGCCTGGTGCATGTGAGTGTGCAACTTGCTTCTCTTTCTCTTCCCAGCCATGTCTCAAGCCGTGCAGACCAACGGGACACAACCTTTGAGTAAAACATGGGAGCTCAGCTTGTACGAATTGCAAAGAACACCTCAGGTAATACGTGCTAAAGTGCTGCCCTCATGGCAGGGCTTCTTCTTATACTTCTTAGAATGTGAAGCTTGATGTTTAAAATTTAACTTTTCCTTGAGGAGTGTTAACTACCTATTCTAAATTATTAAAAAAAAAAAAAAATTCTTCCAAAACAAAACCTCCCTCAAAATCTCAGGGAACTTCTCAATGCCACTCAGTATCTAAAGGGTAGGTGTCAGGAAGATGGGGCCAAACTCTCTTCAGTGGTGCTCAGCAATAGGATAAGTGTCAATGGGCACAAACTGGAAGCCAGGAGGTTCCATCTGAACATGAGGGAAAATTACTTCTTTCCTGTGTGGGTGCCAGAGCCCTGGAACAGGCTGCCCAGAGAGGCTGTGGGGGGTCCTTCAGTGGGGAGATTCCAGAACCAAAGACCCCTGGAACAGGCTGCCCAGAGAGGCTGTGGAGTGTCCTTCAGTGGAGAGATTCCAGACTCACATGGATGCCATCCTGGGCAACCTGCTCTGGGTGACCCTGATTTAGCACGAGGGTTGGATGAGATGATCCCCAGAGGTCCTTTCTAACCTCTACCAAGTTGGGATTCTGGAAGTTAAAAAAAAAAGTTTTTTCCCCTCCTCAGTGTGTGTGTGCGTTTAAAAGAATAATAACATTTTCAATATCTGTAATTTACTACATTTCACTAAAGACTTTTACTTTCTTTTACGCTAGGAAGCAATCACCGATGGCTTGGAAATAGTGGTGTCACCCAGGAGCCTGCACAGTGAGCTGATGTGCCCCATCTGTTTGGATATGCTAAAAAACACCATGACGACAAAAGAATGTCTGCATCGCTTCTGTGCCGACTGCATCATCACAGCCCTCAGGAGCGGGTGTGTCAGTGCTGCTGCAGGGACAGGGGCTTTCACTGCAGAGGAAAATGGGATCAAGGAAATGCTCCAGGTCCTGGGTGCTTGTGGAGCAGTTAGGTGCCTGTGTACTGCAAGGTGCTCAATGTGCAGCACACTGTCCCTATCTCATTCTTGGGTCTCCACCCATCTGTGGCAGATGAGATCTAGATTTTTCCTTTTATGAAAAATCATTCCATAATTTTGTTTTTTTGCAAGGAGTTGAAAATGTATTCTTTTAAAAAGTTTCTTTCCAGTAACAGCAAAACAGAAGTTTACTACATTACTTACAAAAATGAGTCTCATTTCCCTTATTCTTCCTTTTCCTAATAATAAATTGTGGACTGTGTGACCTTCCCTCATAGTCCTGCTTCCAAGCTTCACTACTGAAGTAAAATGAGAACACACTGGTAGGAAGGACAAGACTGGTTTAGTTTCCCCAGTGCTTAAACTATAGAATAGGTTCCTTCCTCTCTGTTTTGTCCTGTGAGTGCTTTGAAGACTGTGCTTTAACCTAATTCCCACTAGACAGGCATTTTTTCTAGGTGAAAATCCAGCCAGAAGATTCAGGGAAAATATGTTTTCCCAAGTGGAACTTTTGAACTCTTAAGTCTAAATACAGTGTACTCAAGCATACTTAAAAAAAAAAAAAACACCAAAAAACCAAACACAAAAACCCCCAAAAAAAAACAAAAACAAAAAACAAAAAAAAAAAAACCAACAAAAAAACCCCCAAACAAACAAACAAACAAACAAAAAAAACAAACAAAAAAAAAACCAAACCACAAACAAAAAAGCAGGAAGATATATATTAGGGGATTTGGTTTAAATATTTGGAGCTACCTGTTCTGTCAAAAGACAGAAGCTCCATTCCAGATTTACTATAAATATTGAGTCTTGGGGAGCACTTTGACTAAGAATTGCAGCTTTAGGGAAGACTTTGGTTCTTGCCAGAGAGTTACTGTTTTGTTTTGTTTTTGTTTTTTCTTTCTTCTTGTTCATGTCCAGCAACAAAGAATGTCCCACGTGTCGTAAAAAGCTAGTTTCAAAAAGATCACTGAGACCAGATCCCAATTTTGATGCTCTCATCAGTAAAATTTATCCAAGCCGGGATGAATATGAAGCTCATCAAGAGAGAGTGCTAGCAAGAATCAGCAAGCACAACAACCAGCAAGCTTTAAGTCACAGCATTGAGGAAGGATTAAAAATTCAGGCTATGAACAGGTACGTAATCCATGTAATCTGTCCATGTGTAAGCTTATTTGCCTTAACACTAAAAATACACCCTCTGTCCTCACACTCTGTGCAGCTCAGGATTCCTCTTCTCTCCTCTGAAGTCTGCCAAAATAATTTTTAACCTTTTGTCTACTAATAGAAGCCTTTGTATCACTTCCAGGGATTTCTGGGGCCACCTGATGTAGACAGCAGATTTCAGATGAGTTTTACCAAATTATGGCTATCATGACTTGGATAATTATAGAATCATGTAATGTTTTGGTTGGAAGAGACCGAAGATCATCAAGTCCAACTGTTGACCCTGCGCTGCCAGGGCACCACAAAACCATGTCTCTCACCACCACATCTACGCTGCTTTTCAGTCCCTTCAGGGATGGGGACTCCACCACTGCCCTGGGCAGCCTGGGACAGGGCTTTGCAAACCCTCTTGGGGAAGGAATTTTTCCTAATGTCCAACCTGAACTTGCCCTGGTAAAACTTGAGGCCATTTCCTCTTGTCCTATCACTTGTTTCTTGAGAGAAGAGATCAACCCCCACTTCACTCTAATGTCCTTTCAGGGAGCTGTTGAGAGCAAGGTCTCCCCTGAGCCTCCTTTTCTCCAGGCTCAACAACCCCAGGTCCCTCAGCTGCTCCTCACAGGTCCTGTGCTCTAGACCCTTCACAGGCTTTGTTGCCCTTCTTTGGACACACTCCAGCTCCTCAATGTCCTCCTTGGATTGAGGGGCTCAAAATTGAACCCAGTATTCTAGGTGTGGCCTCACCAGTGCTGATTTCAGCAGTATGATCCCTGTCTGAGTCCTGCTGGCCACACTAGTGCTGATACATTCTAAGCCACATAAATTATAAACTGTAGTACAAGGAATCCTGTCCTGACATCCCACCGTTACACGCGGGTAAGTGCACAGAACGCCAGAACTCAGGTTTGAGCTGTGCCCTAATTCACAAGGCTGGATACATAGTAGTCAAATTCTGGATCTGCATTTAAACCTAAGAGAGCCAGCTGGGGAAGAAGACTCAAACTTTGTTGTGGTGAAGCACAGTGTGATTTGTGCTTTTAATCACAGTTGGATTCATATTTAAATTAAAATCATGGTCTGAGATTACCTGAAAATTAAAAATAACTGTATGAAGTTAAAAATGATCTTAAAACATGTCTAAAAGGTGTTTGTGGGATAGGAGAAAATTTATAGTCTTATCTGTAAGTATCTTTTTACAAGAAAGAATTCATGAGGAGTTTTTTTAAACTTTAAGTATCTCTGAAGTGTTTAGTGCTCCTGTGTGTGTCTCTAGCTTCTGGTATGATGGAGACAGGCAGCAGGAGGAGCTGTATGAGCATTGTGGGCCTTTACATTGTGTCAATTCTGATTCGTGTTTATTTCTACCTTTCTACCTGTTTCTGATTAGGCTACAGAGGGGCAAGAAACAGCAGATTGAGAATGGCAGTGGGGCGGAGGACAACGGCGACAGCTCACACTGCAGCAACGCCTCAACGCACAGCAACCAGGAGGCAGGGCCTAGTAATAAGAGGACCAAGACATCAGATGATTCTGGGCTGGAACTGGACAATAACAACACGACTGTGGCAATAGATCCTGTAATGGATGGTGCTAGTGAAATTGAGTTGGTGTTCAGGCCTCATCCGACCCTCATGGAGAACGACGACAGTGCACAGACGAGGTAAAGCTCTTTGATCCTCCTTCATGTATGTTAGTTCCTGGTGCTTTTGTTTTCTGTCACTTCTTGGCACTTGTAAAAAAAACATTTACTTTGGTCATGCTACATCCTGGTTAACCATATGCACTCCTTCCCTCTTTCCACTGCCAATCAGGTAGATGGGACTGCTCAGCTAGTATCAAAAATACAGCAACAATCCGTTCTAAGCCTCTGATCACAAATAAAGGTGGTTTTGAGGGTTTCTAGCATTGTGGTTCACAATAGGTACTAGGGTGGTATCGGTACCTTTCTCCTTATTCAAAGATTCTTTGGCAATAAACAACCCTTGCACATGTCAGAAGGTTTTGGAGCACCTTTGTGTTGGTGGGATTTGTAGGCTGGAAGCTTTTCCAGGCTTTTTTTTTTTTTTCCATGATCCAGTCCAAGGACAGACTGCATATTTTGGATCACAGCAATGAGCAGTCTCATGGAGTTTCCTCAGATCTCCTCCTGGCTTTCTTTCCTGATGAGACATCCCTCTGCAGTGCCTATAAATAAATCAGGAGCTTCAGCCAGCTTTTCTTTCTGGCTTGGAATTGCAAGGGAGTTCCGGGGGTTCTTCAGAAACCAAAAAAGAAAGCTCAGCTTCTGGGAGAGGCCTCTGCAGCACTTGCGTCAGCCTTTAATTCTTGCTTGTGTACTGTCTGTAAATGCCTTTTCACACTTGTCATTTGATATTTGGGGGTGCTCCAGATGTCTTTTTCCCACCTCTGCAACTCAAATGTCTTTGATTGTCTTTGTGGCTGTTGTTGCAGATACATCAAGACCTCAGGCAATGCCACCGTTGATCACTTGTCCAAGTACCTAGCCGTGAGATTGGCTTTGGAGGAGCTTCGCAGCAAAGGAGAGTCCAACCAGATGAACCTGGACACGGCCAGCGAGAAGCAGTACACCATTTACATCGCCACCGCCAACGGGCAGTTCACTGTAAGTACCACCTCTGCCACCAGTACAGCTGGCTCCGTGTCCAGGTGGGGATCAGTGGCAAGTGGGGTCCCTCAGGGGTCTGTACTGGGACCACTGTCATTTAGTATCTTCATCAGTGACATTGACAGGGGGATCGAGTGCACCCTCAGCAAGTTTGCAGATGACACCATCCTGAGTGGCGTGTGGTTGACATGCCTGAGGGATGGGATCCATCCAGAGGGACCTGGACAGGCTTTAGAGGTGAACATTCCAACGTCACAACTGGAGTGTGTTTTGGTGCTGTTTTACTGAAATCAGAAGCTTGAGCTGTTGCTTTATGACACCGAGTGGTTAGCTAAGAACTTGTGCCACCTTACCAGTGACTTCTATAAGTCAGTGCTTTCCTCTGCTGTAAGTGGCCTGTTTCTACAGCAGTCCCTGTACAGGCCATCAGATTTATTTAATTTCTGTCTTGGCGTTCTCTTCTAGGTATTAAATGGGTCGTTTTCCTTGGAACTGGTCAGTGAGAAGTACTGGAAGGTGAACAAACCCATGGAACTGTACTATGCGCCAACTAAGGAACACAAATGAGCTGTGCTGGAAACCCAGGGCGGGACTAACTCTTTACAGCTATGACTTCTTTAATAGTAAAAGAAGGCACCACCATTATCTTCATGGACACTACATGTGATGCCTTCAGGCTCTCTCAGTATACTTATTAATATGATTAGACAGTATTCTGGGTTGTATTTAATTTAGTCTTTGTTTTGGGGTTTTGGGTTTTCTCTAGGAGACTAAATGACCTTCTCCAGTACATTCCAGTGTTTGACATGCTTTTTTTTTTTGTTCCTAATGCATGATAACTGAATGAGTGTTCCGGTTTGGAATGTCTTAATTTTGTCCAGGTAAATCTGGATTTCTAACACATTTGACATGGTTATAGTAGCCTCTGTGAAGTACTGAGCATTGGATGGCTAAGTGAGTCTATTCAAGAGTGACATAAGCCAAGGAATGTGTTAAATGTTGTCATTTGCTAATGGTTCTCCATAGGAAGGATGGGCGGAGAATTGATTTGAGTCTTGCAGCTAGAGGTAATTGGATTCCCTAGAAAGATTTATTTGTCATTTCCTTGTGAACAAATAGAAAAAAGTAGCACTTCAACACCTTGCTGTTTACTGGGCTTAATACTTCAATGCAAGGTGATTCATAAGATTGATTTGCTTTTTAACAAATAGCTCTGTTAACCCCCCTCAAACCACTCCAGCCCATAACTCTTCCCCGTGTAGAACGTGCCAGTGTTGATGCACCCAGGCTGCAGCTTCCCCTGTCACAGTGTTATCCTGCCCTGACAAGCCTAGCTGAGGAAAATCTGGAAGTTCTACAGCCCTGCTCTGTTCCCTGTCATTAGAGGTTTTTATTGTGAATGTATTGGAATGTCCTGTAAAGAACTGTCCTGAAAATGTTTGGGTTTTTTTTCTTTAAGCAAATCCCTGAAATCTGAGCACAGGGACATAACACAACAATGAAATGCTGCTTTATGAAATTTGCACCACCCCAGCTGTGAGCTTATCTGGGATGTGGTTTGAGTAGGGAGAACTTCAACCATAAGCTGCTCAAAGTTGTTGTTTTTGTTTGGTTGGTTTGTGTTTTGTTTTGGTTCTGTTTGTTGTGTTTTTTTTTTTTTTTTCCATAGCTTTAACAAACATGGCTTAGCACTTTGGAAAACAATTTTAGTACTTGACAAAGTTTACCATTTAGTGTCTTAAATTTAGGTTCAAGTTTGAAAACTTGGCAGCGGGCTGTTGCGTGAAGTCCAGTAGCTGCTGTTCATTAGCACGTTAACCTCCCCCTGCCTCGCTCTGTCACAGTGAGGTTGCTTTCCGGCTAAAGGGAGGTGCTGGTACCCTGAGATTCCCTTTGCTGCAAGACTTGCTGATGCAGCCTTCACCCATTTGCACCCCAAGCTAGAAGCAAAAAAATGTTGCTATGATAGGTGAAGTAATGTACTTCAAACTGTACGGTGTTGCTCCTTGTCTTGCCCATAGGTACTGGTTTTGGCACGTGGTAGAGAAGGATTCAGATGCTCGGGGATGCTCTTGGGGAGGAATTGTCTGGCCCTTGTAAACACGTGTCCATTCCCACTGCCATTTCAGAGCTGCTTTATCCCGATGTGAAACCTGGATGGGCTTCTTTGAACTTCCAAATCTTTCCAGTAAGAGAATAATGTTTTTCTGTGACATGAAATGGAAGTTTTCAGGCCCCAGAAGAGCGAGCGGGCAGTTTTTAAGGGACTCTGTTATTCCTGACTTTCTGGTGAAATGTTGCATTGTATAGACTAGTAGTGCATGTCCACTATAATCTGGGGGGTGGGGGAGCGGTGATTATAAATGCTTTAAAATGGATGGGGAACCGTCTAGGTTAGTTGCAGTACCTTCCCCTTGTGATAGCTGAGGTCGTGTCCAGTCCCCAAGCAAGAGAGGTGTTTGTGAAGCTGAGCAGTCTGTCTCAGAGCTGTCTGTCACTTTGTCCCCAGCTCTTTAAAGTGTGGGAGAATGTGAAGCTCTTATTTTCATGTTGTAGTGAATTTGCTGAATATTTATGTTCTTTAAATATTATATATA